TTTAGAATCTTACTATTCTCTGTGCTATTTCCAGATTCTTGACAAGATATTAAAATTGCTTTATACTTTTTTTGTAAATTAAGGCAGGGTCTCACTGTGTAGTCCAACTCATGATCTTACTATGTCAGCTTCCTACATTCTGGGAATACAGGCATATATCACCTTCTTTATTAAATTTTTAGACCTAAATTAGCCATAACTAGCAGTTCATCTATAATTCAAAATAATAAATAGATTTAGCTTTTCTTTTAATAAGTGTTTTGTGTGGACGTATGTATGTGCACTTTGTGCATGTCTGGTGTTAGCAGAGGCCAGCGGGAGGTGCTGTGTCACCCGGAACTGGAGTTACAGGTGGTTGTGATGTGAAAACTGCCCCGCTGTTCATCTCTTAAAAATGCCTCGTTTAGGGCTGGAGAGATGGCTCAGCGGTTAGGAGCACTGACTGCTCTTCCGGAGGACCCGGGTTCAATTCCCAACACCCACATGGTAGCTCACAACTGTCTGTAACTCCAGTTCCAGGAGATCTGACACCTTCACATCAATGCACATTAAATAAATAAATCATTAAAAAATGCCTCGTTTATAAATGGAAAATCAGTGGTGGAAAATCTACTTGAGAAGTGAATGGTGTTTGTGTTAATGGCAGCACATTTTGTCTGGTTAGGCCTTTTTGTTTTTATTTTTTACTGTTGGAGTGGTATTCACATCACTGTATGTGCCCTATGCCAAGCATGAGAGCTTCCAGAGGAAATATTCCCACAGGGAATGGGACGTGTCCAACTTAATTGTTTTTTTATATCACATACAGGTAAGCCTGTGTGCACAAGGACTAAGAACGTAGAACTAGTAGGTGTAGAGAAACCAGCAACTCATGGGACAGAGGCAGGAAGACGGGAAGACAGAGGGATCAGAGCGCATTTGATGGCTGAAATCTTGTGGACGAAGAGGTGCAGTGTGGCCGGGTGGTGCAGGGCTTTAGTCCCAGGACTGGGGGTGGGGCAGAGGGAAGTAGATCTCCGAGTTCGAGGCTAGTTTAGTCTACAAAGTGGGTTCCAGGACAGCCAGAACTGTTACACAAAGAAACCCCATCTCAGAAAAGCAAAGTTTTCTGCAGAACTGAGACCTGGCTTCAGTCCACTTGATGTGGTTTCTGTGGCTTGGTGTCAGCAGGAAGCTTCAGTCAGGCCTCAGCTTCCATCTCTGTAGAGCACAGTCCTGATAGCTCAGCTGTCCCGGGAACCGGAAGTCACCGTCTGAATTGCAGAACTCTTTCTGTTCTTGGGGACTCAGGAATCCCATGGGAAGACCTGGCTGTTGGAGCCCCTCTTTCTGCCAAGTTCAGTTGTGGCACACGCCTTTCGGATGACAAACCAGTTGTTTTCCTGTCAAGCACTCAGCATTACTGGTTGTGCATGTAGTTCCAAAAGCTTGTTCAGCTCTTCCGATTGTGTGTGTGTGCGCATGCCTGTATACAGGCGAATGTGTGTGTAGGTGCTGCTCCATGTCACTACTGTATACAGGCGAATGTGTGTGTAGGTACCTCTCTATGTCATTCCTGTATACAGGCGAATGTGTGTGTAGGTGACACTCCATGTCATTCCTGTACACAGGCGAATGTGTGTGTAGGTGACACTCCATGTCATTACTGTATACAGGCGAATGTGTGTGTAGGTGACACTCCATGTCATTACTGTACACAGGCGAATGTGTGTGTAGGTGCCTCTCCATGTCATTACTGTACACAGGCGAATGTGTGTGTAGGTGCCTCTCCATGTCATTCCTGTACACAGGCGAATGTCTGTGTAGGTGACACTCCATGTCATTCCTGTACACAGGCGAATGTGTGTGTAGGTGCCTCTCCATGTCATTCCTGTACACAGGCGAATGTGTGTGTAGGTGACACTCCATGTCATTACTGTATACAGGCGAATGTGTGTGTAGGTACCTCTCCATGTCATTACTGTACACAGGCGAATGTGTGTGTAGGTGACACTCCATGTCATTACTGTACACAGGCGAATGTGTGTGTAGGTGACACTCCATGTCATTACTGTACACAGCCGAATGTCATTCCATGTCATTCCTCAGGTGCCACCCACCACTTTTCTTTCTAGACAATGTCTTTTGCTGGCTGGAACTTGTCTAATAGGCTGGCTGTGAGGCCCAAGGATCCACAGTGTCTTGTCTGCCTAGTGCTGGACATTTCTTTAATGTGGGTTCTAAGGATTAAGATCAGATCCTCTTGGGTCTGACCTCTCTTGAGCCCCACTCTTCCATCTTTCTGAATGTACCCATTCTAGAGTTCATGCATGCATTTTGGAATCAAGGAAGGAATTAGCAATACTAAAACAGAACAAAAGTCAACAACAAAAAACTCCATGCCATTTCCCCTCTAGAACTTTCAATTATTTAGTTCCCAATTCAGTTTTTAAAAGGATGTTGTAATACTAAATTGTGGAATGTATTTTAATACCATTATAGGTTGTTTTTGAGAGTTCTAAACTTATTCCATTTTACAAGCTGGGTCATAGTTTCAGTGTCTTAAGCAAAGGCCTATTAATCAATAACACTCCTGATAACAAGGACTAGGGAGGGAGCACTATAAGGCCTGAGTCAGCCCCACAACATATCCAAGCAATGACCAAAAAAGGATAGTTCCTATAACCCCCTCCCCAAACAGGCCCAGATTTGCCCAAGTATGCCCAAATATGGAAAAACAAAAATTAGAAATGTATTAACGTAACTGCTGCTTGTTTGAGCAATCATGTTAGAAGTGCCATAGTTGGGATGGAAAGATGGCTCAGCGGTTAAGAGCACTGACTGCTCTTCCAGAGGTCCTGAGTTCAATTCCCAACAACCACGTGTTGGCTCACAACCACCTATAATGAGATCTGGACTACAGGCAGGATACTGTATAAATAAATAAATAAATCTTTAAAAAAAAAGAAAGCACAGAGGACACAAAGAGTGCCAGAAAGAAAGAAAGAAAGAAAGAAAAGAAAGAAAAAGAAAGAAAGGACATAGTTGTTCCTGAAATTTACCGAGCTGTGCTGAAAAGGACCTGCAGGCCTTTGTCCTGGGTCGCCATTTTGTACAGATAGTGACCCTACATGCTGGTAAATACTCTTTGCTTTTATAGCCTATTTGAGTCTGGGTCTTCAGCATTTTCTCAGACCCCTACATTTTCTTTTGCCAAGTTGCTGTTCAAAAGTTACAGCCTTTGGGTACATGAAGCAAGAAGCTGTCAACTAAGACTGTCTTGAAGGGGGCCTTTAAAGTCCAGTGTGCACTTGCTTCCTTTGGTTTTTAAGGTCACATGTGTTTTGCCTGTGGTAAAAAAAAAAAAAATTCAAAAATTGCTGTACTATGCATGGTTTCTACAAAAAGACACAATTCTACTAGCAACCAAACAGGAATTTCATGGGCTATCATTAAATAAAACTTTTGGGGCTGGAGACATGGTTCTATCGTTAAGAGTACCTGCTGCTCTTGCAGTGTTGAAATACGGAGCGGCGGGCTGTGTCCCGCCACCCGGCTAGCTTTACCCGAAATAATTACACGGAAACTGTATTCTTTTAAACACTGCCTGACCCATTAGTTTCAGTTTCTTATTGGCTAGCTTTTACATATTGATCTAACCCATTTCTATTAATCTGTGTAGCCCACGAGCTGGCTTACCAGGAATGATCTTAACCTGCGTCTGTCTGGAGTGGGAGAATCATGGCGACTCCCTGACTCAGCTTCTTTCTCCCAGCATTCCGTTCTGTTTACTCCGCCTACCTAAGGGTTGGCCTATCAAATGGGTCTAGGCAGTTTCTTTATTAATAAGAAATCACTCCCACATCATTGCAGAAGACCTAGGTTCGATTCCCAGCACCCACGTGGTGACTCATACGGTAACTGCAGTTGGAGGGGACGAGATACCCTCTTCCGGCCTCCCCTGACACCAGACACACATGTGGCACACACACATATTGTGGTGGTTTGAAAGAAAATGTCCCTCAAAAGAAGTGGCACTATTAGGAAGTATGATCTTGTTGGAGGAAGTGTGTCACTGTGGGGGCGGGCTCCGAGGTCTCTTTTCTCTAGCTTCAGTCAGTGTGTCTTCCTATTCTGCAAGATGTAGCACTCTCAGCTCCAGCACCACATCTGCCTGCATGCCACCATGTTCCGGGTCATGATGATAACGGACTGAACTTCTGAAACTGTAAGCAAGCCACCCCAATTACATGTTTTCTTTGTGAGAGTTGTGGTCATGGTGTTTCTTGACAGCAATAGTAAATCCTAAGACCATTTCTGTCAGACAAAACGCTCATACACCATCAAAATAAATCCTGAAAGATACATGCTATAATCTGCTTACAGATAGTATTGAGTACTTAACGTGTTGCCTAATCACCTACTGAAGATCAGTGAATGAGGTACTACCTAGGCCACTACTCACTCGTATCTGTCACAAATGGTAAGAGACCTGTGTATCCCCAATAGCCCGGGCAAAACTATCCTAACTTTAGCTTTGCCTCGGGTATGGACCGGTTCGGACAAATCAGCATTGGTTGAAACAGATTATGTTCCCCTTTACGTTCTTCGGGATGGGGAAGGATTATTTTCTGCTTTGGCTGACAGCTTTGAAATATAATTGGCATGCTGCAAACTTCATGTATTTAAATCGTACACTTTAATATATTCCCACATACGCGTACATACTGGGATCCTCAAAGAATGAGAAAATTTCTAGGCTGCAAATAAAAACCTCACTAAGGGTTCTAGGATGGTAAACGCTGAGCAATCCCGCGGGTACCCTGTATCCGCGAGGTTGTCACAGGCAGGGCCCCCTGCCGGGCCTAGCCTATCCGAGGCCTTCAGAATGGCTTGATTTATAATTTGTCACTCCCGACAGGAAATTCCTTCTGCTTTCTCCAAACACAGCGTCTTCTTCAACTGGTGACCCACAGACCCTCAAGGCGGGTCCACGCCGGGCTTCCAAACGCCACGCCTCTCAGGATTCCCGGCACGCCGCGCGCCGGCCTTGACCGGAAGGCGGAAGTGCGGGGACTTCCGGCTGGCGTCCTACGCGTGCAGTGCGGTCGTGTTTCTCAGGTGAGTCGCGTGGGCCCCGTGTTTAGTTCTGCGGTGTGGAGAGCAGGCCTCAGATCGTCCCTCCGCCGCGGCCCTGGCGTTGGCCTGGCGGTGCGGGGCTCGGGAGGGCGAGGCCCGGGATCGTGATGGCGGCGCCGCTCTCCCCCGGGCTGTGACTAGCGGAGCCCAGGCCGAGGTCGGCCGACTGCGTGGGTCACCGCGACCCTCCACTGGGAGTGTGGGTCCTTAGACGATTGTTGGCGTCCAGAGGATGCTCACCTCGCGTCCCCCAGTCCCACAACCTGCGCTCTCGAGGGCTCCAGCGGCGAATGAGAGCAGCTGAAGGAGCTTCGGGGCGAGACTGTGCTGAGCAGGGGCGGGGGACAGAAGAGTCTGAGGTGCGGAACAGAGAAGCCTCGGGGAGAGCAGTTTCCAGGCAGCGAACAGTGAATGATGGACCTGAACTGCGCGTAGTGTGGGCTTTTCCGCCGGCGCCACTGAAGCTTGCGGTTGGGGGTGGGAGAGAGTTAAAGGAGGCTCGGGAGTAGCGGGCTGCAACTTTGATACCTGAAGACACGAGGGCAAGTCAGTCAAGAAGTCTTTAAAAAGCCGGGAGGTGGTGGCGCAAGTCTTTAACCCCAGCACTCGGGAGGCAGAGGCAGGCGGATCTCTGTGAGTTGGAGGCCAGCCTGGTCTACAGAGTGAGTCCCAGGACAGCCAGGACTGCACAGAGAAACAGTCTCAAACAATAACTACAAAACAGAATTTTTTAAAAGACAGCTATGCTCTGAGTTTAAAAAAAGTTCACTTTGTGAAGGATTTAGGGCTGAGAGGTGGAGCAATTTGAAGGCGGTTTATTAACTTGGTGTCTACGAAGGAGCTGTGAGAATGGATTGGTTTATAATTTGTCACTGGCCTCTGGGGGCTTGACCTTATATTTAACCAGTGGCTGCTCTTCGTTGAGCCTCACATAAGCTAGGCATGAAGACGGCGTAGATTGCCTCCGTTCATCCCACTACTGAAGACGTCTGCCCAGACATTTCCTTGTTGGTAAACTTTCTTCTTGTGTTTTTGTTGCCCACCAGGTAAGGCATGGCTAAGAGCTTACGGAGTAAGTGGAAAAGGAAGATGCGTGCTGAGAAGAGAAAGAAGAATGCCCCAAGGGAGCTCAACAGACTGAAAAGTATTCTCAGAGTTGACGGGGATGCTTTAATGAAAGATGTTGAAGAAATAGCGACTGTGGTGGTACCCAAACTGTACCAGGAGAAAATGCAGTGTGCGGTGGAGGGTGAAAAGGGTGAGCTTGTGCGCTTTGTTTTCACCATTAGAAAGTGGACCAGCTTTTCCTTACGCCCCTTTATTATTATTATAGCCGCTGTCTTCTTTCCATCTCTACTTCTCTCTGGTGTCAGATCCAAAAGAAACTGGGGGCAAGTGGCTAACTGTGGTGCCTATTAGATAACAAAGCACTTGCTGACATCCTGGCTTCTCTCAGCTCTTCTCATCCCTTTCTCTTCCCTAAAGCTCTCTACCTCATGGGCTTCCCCTCCCCCAGCTTCTCATTCCTGTAGAGCCCTGCGTTTCAGCCATTTTCTCTCTGTCTCTCTCTGTTGTCTTGCTCCTTTCTCCATCTCCTTTGTTCCTCTCTCTCCTCTCATGGCCTGTTCCAGTCTTCTGGCCATGTCTAGTCTACTACTTTCTTTCCCTGCTCTGGATTCTTCCAGATGCCTCTGGCTTTTCTCCCCCTCATATCTACAATAAAAAATTTCTCTTCAACCACACTTTGGAGTGGTCATGTCCTCACTTTATATACCTAACATACCTGTTATGTTCACATCTTTATTCTTTGAAAGCTTTTATGTGTATTAGAGATTCTGTGCTAAGCTGTTTTTAAGTCAGTGTTTGGGAATAAGCATGTCTGGGTTATTTAATGGATCTTCAGCAATTGTGTAGCAGCCCGAATGCCCTGGGAACTGACAGAAATATAGGAACAAGCTTGGGAGAGGTTGGAAGGTTCAGTCAGGGTCTGGGCAGGTGAAAAGAGGTTTTCACTATTCCTCACGAGAGCCTGGACCCATTCTGTGGATTCTTCACACTTGTATTGTTACCCTGAAAATCACAGGCACCTGCTTTTTGTTGATATATTTTAGAGGCCTCTGTGTGTTTTTAATCATGGTTTAAATCTGGGGACTAAATATAATGATGGTTTCTACAGAGAAAAGGCTGGCTGATTTTCAGGTCTTAATGTCCCAGTGTGGCAGCAAGCGAAATGACGCACTCGCCATAGCCACTCTTAAAGACAGAGGTGTATCTTCGTCTTCAAGGCCAAGGAGAACAGTGTTCTCCTTACCCTACATATTCACATCTTGTTCTTCCAGATAAAAAACCCTTCTCTTTGTTCTCTTGCTTTGTCTCAGCTGCCCTTGAGAGAACCTGGTTTAGCGTGCTGTGTCCCTTCCATCATATGTGTACACCTCTGCTCCTCAGCTCTTTTCACGGTTTTAATTACATGACCGTGACCATTTAATTTGTGTGGTAGTGCATTGAAGTACAATCACGATGTTTACAACCAGCACCTCTGGCTCCAAAACGTTTTCATCCCTCTAAAAAGGAGTGCTGTACCCATTTAGTTGTTTCTCTTTCCCTCCAGCTCCAAGACTGACAGCCACTAATGATTTCCTGTCTGTATAGATTTCTTCTTGTTTGAGCTATGGCATGTAAGTGGAATCATAAAGTGTGGGATCTTGTGCCTCACTTTTCTAACTTAGTATCACATTTTGAATTTCACATTTTAGTATATGTTAGTGCTTGTAAAGATGAATACTCATGTGCTGTATATACCACTTTTTATATACCTGTTAGTTGGCATCTGGGTCACTTTTATGCTAGTAAACCTTCATGTCCAATTTTTTTTTAAATGCTGCTTTCAGTGCTTTGGAATATGAACTTAACAAATAGAATGCTGGGTCATGTTAATTCTTTGCTATTTTCTGCACCAGCCAAACGATCCTTCAACTCTGGGCATCAGGTGCCATGCGCTCTTGACTCCTGGGGATCCTTTTCTCTTTTGTCCTTTGTGTGCGTTCTCTATTCCCTGCATTTGATCTTGTGGGATCTTAGTATACTGTACACTTTTCTTCTTCCAAAAGTGTTCTATTTTTGATTTTGACTTATTTTTTATAGCTTTCTGCTCTTACTGGGGATATATTTTTATCTCATTGAGGGTATTGTTTGCTCCTGAATTTGAACGGCAGTTTGAGCATTGTTTATTTCTTTAGAGTCCCTTGCTTCCACCCTTGTTTCCCGTCATGCTTATCTAACACTCTTCACATGCTTGGGGGGTTGTTGATATTTAAGTGAGGCACTGACAAGATTAGGAGCCCAGGCAGTGTAGAGAAGAAGTCTCTCATTTTCTGTCTGGAGAATGTGTTGATGCACTCATTTTTGTAATACTTCAGAAGCTAAGTAGGAATAGAAGTGAAGGTGGGGAGTCTTTCTGTTTAGTTATAGACCTGTCAGTAAAGCTGGATGCATCTACCCTCATATACATGTTTCCCGTCATGTCCTCTTGCAGCTGCCTACCCAGTTTCTTAGACTCCTTTATCCCCTGTGTCTAAGCCAAAGCATTTCTTGTTATACCAGAACTGCATGGCCACAGTGCTTGCCCATCCTTGATACTAGCCTTTTTACTTTCCTCTCTCCTCTTCCTCCTCTCTTATTTCTGTATGTCAACATTTTGTATCTTTTAAAAATACAAATCAGATTCAGTCACTTGCTTACTTAAAATGTAACTTCCAGGACTGAAGAGATGGCTCAGCACTTAGAGTTCTTGCAGAGTTCATTCCCTAGCACCTACTTTAGGGGTTCACAATTGACTGTGACTTCTGCTCCAGGGGACCCGACAGCACAGTCTTCTTTCCTCCCTGGGCACCCGCGCATACGTGCACACTCAGGTGGACTCAGGAACGTGCAGCAGCAGTGTTGATCCTGTCTGACTTGCTGCGCGGAGCTGAGGAAGGCTGTAACAGAGTGTCTCCTGATTTCAAACTTCTTGTCATTCGGATGTTCATGCTGCATTCATGGGCTTTCATGGGGTTGTTTTGATGTATGAATGCTAATAGCTTTTCACTTTATTGTTGTTTTTAATTTAGATGACACGAAAATGGAGACTGAAATTAAGAGAAACAGAAAGACTCTTCTAGACGAACATGGACAGTACCCAATATGGATGAACCAGAGGCAGAGAAAAAGACTGAAGGCAAAGAGAGAGAAAAAACGGGGGAAAAGCAGAGCCAAGGCAGCCAAGGGCCTGGCCTGGTAGACCTTACAAACTGGAAAGAAGGCAGAGGCAGGTGGATCTCTGTGAGTTCAAGGCCAGCCTGGTCTAAAAAAGCAGATCCAGGACAGCCAGGACTGCTAAGGTGGAGAAACCCTGTCTCAAAATCCACAGCAAACAAACAAACAAACTGGGAAGTATTGATGGGACAGAAATTGAGTTGTTAGGACTGTCTTCACTGGTTTCAGCTCTCTCTGATGGAAGCTCGTTGTTTTCATACTTTAGTTTCATCTTAACACCTGTAATTCAAAACCAGAATAATTCATTTGTTTTGGGAATTTGAATAAACTATTTTCTGTTTTAAAAGAAAATTGGAAGCTGCCTGATGTTTGAGTATTATCAGACACCACAATCTTGTGAGCATTGCTGTGGTTAAAATTATTTGATCTTACAAAATGGCAATTATCATCAATGCCTCAGATTAAACATGCTCATACGAACAAAATTTGGACAAAAATATTTTAAAATAGCGTCTCAAGGGGCTCAGCAGTTAAGACCGCACACTGCTCTTGCAGAGGACTCCTGCTTCATGTCGAATGGCTCAAAACCACTCAGAACCAGTTCCACGGGGTTCCCCTCTTCTGGCCTCCACCTGCCCTCATGCACAAGCTCCCCACACAATCTAACTTAAAAAAGTCTTGAGAAAAAGGATGGCAGTGGATTGTTTATGTTTTTTCTATAATCCGTAATAAAAGATATTGTATGTGTAGATCTTAGAGTTTGACATTTTCTTTAAGGTTTCCAGCTACTGAGAAGACCATGTCTCTCATTTAGGGGGACTGTACCATGTACTACACATTGGTGTGCTTTCTAAGTTAGAGCAGCGTGGGGTTAGGGGACTGTACCATGTACTGAGTGGTCTGCTTTCTAGGTGATTAAAGCAGCACAGGTTTTTTCTGAAAACAAATGTTCTTCAGGTTTTGCTTTTTTCTTCTTTTGGTATTTTGAGATGGGGTAGCCTAGAACCAGCTCTGTAAACCAGGCTGGCCTTGAACTCAAACCTGCCTCTGCCTCCCTCTGCTTCCACAGTGCTGGGATAAAAGGTGTGTGCCACTGCTACCAGGCAGTGTAGTTTAGTGTTACATCATGTAGCTTAAGATAATAAAGTGTGTTATTCAGAATCAATTACTCGAGATGTTTCGAGCGTGTGAGTGAGTGTGTGTGTGTGTGTGTGTGTGTGCACGTCACCTACACGTCCATCCGCCTGGGAGATGGCTTATGTGTAAACACGGGTGTTAACTAGCTTAGTGTTAGTGTTGTAGAATGAAGAGACCTGGCATTAGCATGACTACTCTCTTTCTGTACCAGTGAGATGAGTTTTGGTTGAGTCTGTCTCAGCATACTATGTTAATTTCAGTCATTTAAGTTTGTTCTAAATTTAGCCCTCCACCTGAAATTTCACTCCTTAGATTCACCGCATTATGTGCTGAATAAAACCAGGAACTTTGCCAATATTAGGAATGCTGAGAGCCGTTCACCTGCTCAGGAAAAGGTTTAACTTCGCATGGAAAGAAAGAAAGGAATAGAATATGATTGCTTGGCTCTGAAACCATCAACTGCCAAGCACACTGCCGAGCATGAATGTGACCAAGTGCTACCAAGTAAGCCACAAAATAACGCTGGGTGCTTAAAATTAGTACAGTAGGTCCTCCGTTTACTCAATAGTTTATCAGAAGGTTAGTCGATAATTTCAAAATAAAATACATTTTTCTGAAGGTGGCAAGACAAGGCTAGGGCTGTAGCTCTGTGATAGAGCACTCACCTCCAGCATCCACAAAGCTCTGGGTTTGGGCCCAGTATTGACGGTGAAAAGAGGGTTGGAAGGTGGGCCGTGTTCAAGGTCTTCGTTCCTATTCGTAGCTGTTAGGAGCTGTGAGGGCAGAGTAGATACAGAAGTGAGGGATAAAACGCTGCAGACATTAAAGGCACTGGCACTAGAGCTGCCCTCTCATCGTGGACGCTGCCGTGTCCGTGCCGCACCCTTGGTTGTCATTTAGTCTCGCAGCATCGTGGGGTTGCTGGAGTTGAAGACGTCGCTGCCAGCTGTCTACACATTTTCCCTGCAGCTCACAACTCAAATTTGATTCTGCTGAAAAAAGCTTGGAGCTCCCGTCCAGAGCCTGTCCATGATGTGAGGCTGTTCACTACAGTTGGGCACGCCGGTTTTAACTTAAAAGGTAGGGACTGGGAAACGGCTCTGTTGGCAAATGCTTACCATAAAGGTATAGGTACCCACGTTTGTGTTCCCAGCACCCACATAAAAAGCCAGGCTCCAGAGCGTGTTCCCTCCTCCTGGGGAGACAGAAGAGGATTCCAAGGTGTAAGCAGCCCAAGGTCAGTTACCAGGCAGCTGATCAGAAAGACCGTGACCTGGAGCCCCCCAGTCTGCAAATGGTGGACTCAGGTTCAGTGAGAGACTTATCTTTAAAAGAAGTTACGTGAAAGAGCAGTCGCCGAAAAAAAATGCCAGTTGAGGCCCTATCCCCCAGCCTCAGTTTACCAAAATTGCTTGGAAGTCATTTCAAGTAGGTCATGACGTCATGGCTTTTGGATAGGGGACCGCTGTAGAGAAATTATTACCTTCCCCTGTTGTGAATGGGCCTGAGACCCCGAGTTCAGGACTGTGTTGTTTCCATTTCAGATTTTGGCGGGAAATCTAGACTGGAATTCCAAAATCAATTCAGGAATGTGATCAGTTCTTTGTCACTTTATTTCTAAAGGCAAATACAGGGAGAAGCACAGTGTAGTACTTTAATCTTTCATGTAAAAAACTTTGAACAAATTTGTCTTTGATGCTTTCAGGAGAATTGCTGGAATACCACCAGGGGGCGCTCAAGACAAGCGGCAAATCACTTGAATTAGCCTGAGGCTTGAGAAACAGAATGGAACCATTTTTGTGCTCTTAAAGAGATTAAATATACACAAGGCTAATAAAATATACATTTTATTATTAATTATTAATATTAAGTAATATTATTAGCTCATCTAATTCAGAACCTATGACTCTGCTGCTAATATCTGGACTTGAGGAAACTGAGACACAGAGGTCATGTAGCTAAAACCAGGACAGTTGTTTCAAAGAATGCATTCTCACAGTGATTCTTGCCCAAAAACTTTCTCCAAGAGAAACGGCGATCTTAGTATGGAAGGCTTGTAACTTGGTTTAATTCGTGGTGGGATTGGGTTGAAGCAGGCTTGGATTAGATAAAGATCATGCTTGAGTAGCCAAATGATTTATAGAGCCCTTCTCAAACCTCTGGGTGGAAGCTGGACTGGATTTCTTTAAGGAAATGTGCCTACTGGTCCAATGCAGTGTCAGCAAAGCTTGTAAGTGACCAGATAGCTAAGCAGACGCCGCGTGACTGGCCACTGAAGCTCTCGGAGAATCCAGTAGGGCTTTTGTTAATTTGTTTGTTGTTGAGAGAAGATCTTGTAGCCCTGGTTAGTCTGGTAATCATTGATCAAGCTGGCCTAGGCTTGCGGTAGTGCCTCAGCCTCCGGAGTACTGAAATCACAGGCATATACCACCATGGTGGAAAACTGGCCATTTCGTTAGACTGCTCTCACATGACGTGAATGCAGATATACGTTAGTCCCCATTAGTGCACAGAGTACTTCCAATACACAGAGACTGTAAGGAAACTGAGTGTCAGCCAGGCGGTGGTGGTGGCACAGGCCTGAGGCTGAGGCAGGCGAATCTCTGTAAGTTCAAGGCCAGCCTGGGCTACACAGAGAAACCCTGTCTTGAAAAACAAACAAAAGTAAAAACTGAGTGTCTTCAGAATTTATATCCATGTGAGATATGAATTTTAGGAGTTGGAGAGGAGAAATTTGTTATCTATAAGTGATTAGATTCAACTCCTTGAAAATCCTAGAGGAGAGAGCAGAGGATGATAGGCGGCTTAGAGTTGAGAAACAGTCGGACAGAAAGAACATCCAGGGATCTAAAGACCTCAAGAACTGCTAAATGGAGGCCGTCCCCAGCTATAATGCAGATATTACGCTGTTGACTAATCTTACTAGGGAAGGACAATTAGCAGAGTGATTCAAACTTGTGCTAGCCACACATATTTTTTCCTGTATTTTCCAGCACATAAAATCTTCATTGCGCAGACACGCACCACTCTTATAAGAATATGTTTGCAGATGACAGGGGACTTTCAGGTCATCAAAAACCACCCTGCATCCCCAGGACCCTGTAGGGCTCACAGAGGTCAGGTCAGGTTTGGTTCTGTTTATAAAAGGACCATATGATTTACATTGTTCGGAAAGGGAGATGGCTCCACAGGTAAGAACATTTGCTGTTAAACATGAAGATCTGAGTTCAAATCCTCGGCACCTGGATAAAAAGCCAGGGATGGTCTTGTGCTGTTGATCCCAGTAGGGTGGGAGACAGGCCCAGCTGGGGCTTGCTGGCTGCCAGCCTAGCTCCATGTTCGATGGCAGACCCATCCCAAGGAAGTGAGATAGAGGATGATAAAACCAGATACCCAGTGTCCTCTGCTGGCCTCTGCTCATGCACACCACACAGACACACACACACATGCATGTGCGTGTGCACACTTTGTACATAGCTGACTGTCAAAAGATTTAGTTTTGCACTTCTTTTAAAGCAGAGGAAACTATGGCGTGATAGCAAATACGGCTCAGCTGATAGGATCATAGTGAAAATGAAACTTTTAAAGAATGTGTGTCCTGCTCCATGCACCTCGCATTTACTGGATCTGCGAAACAATTCAGGAATGTTAATACTTTTGTCCCTCTTTAAATGAGCGGTTTGGAGAGGAAACGTCCAAAGTCACACAAGAACGGATTCAAGCACAATGCTGTCCTCAGTAGTAGAGAATCTAGAATGGAAAATTATAGAGACAGACTGGTCCCATCTCCAGAGTAGTCTGTATCTAGGATGCCTGGCATGGAATGGCCAGCTGAGGCTAGGTGGCTGTTTGACTGGAACGTAGCTGAAGGATTCAAACACTGGACTTTCAGGTTGAAAGCCGTTGTTTTCCAGCCTAGGAATACCATGGAAAAAGCTGCGCTTAGCACATTTTATACTGATTTTGCTCTCTCCCGTCTTTTGGCCTTCCATAATTATAGACTTCAATATCTCTATAGTAAAATAATAATAATAATAATAACAAATCTGAAATCTCCTTAATTTTGTTAATGTTAAATCTGGTACTCATTCAACTAAGCTCCCAATTAAAGTGTGGAAAACACTCTAAACATCTGCTTTAAACAATGGATGGGGTGCAGGCCTTTCAAGGTTAACCTAAAGAAGGGCACAGCTTGCTGATATATTAGGC